CTATCAATATTCCAACTTCCTTTTTTTGCAGAAGTGAATAATCTACTCTTAAAATTCATTTGAAATTGCATGGGACCCTGAATAGCCAAACAATCTTGAAAAAGAATAAAATTGGAGGACTCACACTTCTCAATTTCAAAATTTACTACAAAGCTACAATAATCAAAACAATGTGGTATTAGCATGAGGATAGGCATATAGATCAATGGAATAGAATTGAAAGTGCAGAAATAAACCCATACATCTATGGTCAATGGATTCTTGACAAGGGTGTCCAGACTGCCCAGTGGGAAAAACAGTCTTTTCAACAAATGATGGTGAGACAACTGGATATTCACATGTAAAAGAATGAAACTGAATCCTTCCTTCAAACCATATAGGAAAATTAACCCAAGATAGATAAAAGACTTAAATGTAAGCTAGAACTACAAAACTCCTAGAAAGAAAACAGAGGTAAATCTTCATGGCCTTGGATTTGGCAATGGATTCTTATGTATGACACCAAAAGCAAAAACAACAAAAGAAAAAAAAAAGATATATTGAACTACATTAAATTAAAAACTTCTGTGCATCAAAGGACGCTACTAAGAAAGTGAAAAGAAACCCCACAGAATGGGAGAAAATATTTGTTAGTCACGTGTCTGATAAGGTTGTAATAATAGGAACATATAAAAAATTCCTACAACTCAACAACAAAAAGATAACCCAATTTGAAAATAGACAAAGTGGCCTGGCATGGTGGCTCAAGCCTGTAATCCCAGCAATTTGGGAGGCAGAATTGGGAGGATCTCTTGAAGCCAGGAGTTCAAGACTAGCCTGAGCAACGTAGCAAGACCCTGTTACAAAAAAATAGAAAAATTAGCTGGGTGTAGTGGTGTGCCCTTGTAGTCCCCCCTACTAGAGAGGCTGAAGCAGGAAGATCATTTGAGGCCAGGAGTTCAAGACCAGCCTGGGCAACATAGTGATACCTCATCTCTACAAAAATAAAATAATAATAATAAAAAAAGTCAAACATAGAATTACCATATGACCCAGCAATTCCAC